CCAACCTTTACAATATACTAGGCGACGGACAAGATTGCAAGGGCAAGCTAGAGAAACACTTTCAAGCTCTAGGGGAAGGGAAAAACGAAAAGGAAATGCAACTATAGAAGTTGAGGAAGAAGATGAAGAAGAAGAACAAAGTAGTGATGGAGATATTGAAGAGGAAAAAGAAGAGATTTACAACTTAGAGACAAGTGAAAGTGAAGATGAAGATTTGGATGCTCATGATTTCAATTATGATTAGTTCCTTAAGTTCTTTGATAATTGATTCTGACATCTCACTTAAGTGACAATTTGAATTTTGATTTATTTTGCCACTTTATTTTGTTGTGTTACATTATTTGAGACTTTAGTTCCTCCAATTTTCTTATGATTTGAAATTTAATGTTTGAAATCATTTATGTTTGAGTTTGACATCCTTCAAATTTATTTTTTATGTCACATTTTCATTTTTTAAGTTTTATATTTGTGGAGTACAATTTAGTGTATCACTTAGGTATACTTTGCACCGTAGCATTGTAGCGCTACACGCTATAGCAATTTGGAGGGTCGGCCGCTACGCGCTGCTATTCGAGATTAATAAGTATGATTGACATATAAAAAGAATAGTTTGTAATATAAAAAAATTTAATAGGTAGGTGTTTTGCAACCTAGGAATGGTGGTATTGCCTGTAGGCAGTGGCGGACCCAGGAATTTTTATAGAGGGGGAATTTTTTTTTTTTATACTATTAAGAAAAGTACATACAATCATATATGAACCTAATATAAAAAGTCTGAAAGAGTTTTATTACAAAATTTAAGGTCAATTCACTTAACTCTTGTTCTACTTTTTTCATATTATTAAACTCTTCTATAATTGAATCTGTGCTAAAATTCAAAACAATTTATTTTTCAACATATGTAATCAAAGAATTATCAAGAAATTGGTTTTTCATTCAATTTTGAAGGCTAGTCTTGATTATCTTCCATTCGACAATGGATGCGGGCTCTTTTTCTTCCCCAATATTTAGCTCAAAAAATTGGAACCTTGTTTGTGTGTTTTGTTGTTGTCTTCTTTGATAATGATTTTCGCCACCCTCTTGATAATCAAGTGTGCCTCATTTTGAAATTTTTTCTTGAGCCCTAAAAGTTTGCTCCTTCCTTTAGAAAAAACTACAATCTCAATTTCTAAAGTTGTGTTTGTTTAAGTGTTTTTAAAATTTTCAGCCCAAAATTATATATATATATATAGTAAAAAAAAATCTAAAAATCAAGGAGGGGCGGTGGCCAACCCTAGCTCCTCCCCTGGGTCCGCCTCTGCCTGTAGGGGCTGTAAAAGAATGTATATGCTTCCGAATGAGTTTGTTTACAATTAGAGTATTTAATTTAAATGGTTACGTAGTTATTTATATTTGATAATAATGGAAAGAAAAAGTTTATCCACAATTCTAAGTTCAATTACTGCGATTGTAATTGCGCTTAATACCATATGCGATGTTAACAAACCGGTCCGGTAACGGAGTGTTACACTAGGCATCCCCAAACAACGGCTGTTTATTAAGTGATCTAACATTAACTTTTTCAGGATTAAGATTGCATGATCTAACACACGATAGGTTTTTATATACTCTAATATCATTTTATCAAGAACATAATGTTTAATACCATATAATATATATTGTTAGATTAAATGCAAAATATTTTAAATCACATCTAAATATAGTAATTAAATTACTGAAAAGGTAATTAGAATCATTTGATTTTCTTTTTCCTTTTAGGTGAGAGAGCTAGTGAAAAGTGAAGTTAAATTAATTTTATTTTTCAATTTTTAATGAGTTAGTGGATTACCACCTGTTTATTTTACAAATTAATTAAGGAAAAAAGAAGTATCCTTTAAAAGGACACAAGTTTGTGTCCTTTTAGGTAGTCAGACTTTGTATAAATTTTAAAAATTATTTTCTTTTACTTTACACGTTAGTGATATGACTGGAAAGAATTTTTTTTTTTTTCAAATTTACACAAAATCTAACCGGTAAAAGTTTGATTTCATAACCATGCATTTAACTAAGTCTGCAGAATAGGGCAACGTAAAGATCTCAGCCCATTTACCCAAAATTCTATAGACAACAAAAGAGAGAGAATAGGTTTTTCCAAGGTTAACCAATAAACTGAAATAAGTATCTTTTGCAATTTTAAATCGATGTTGTTTTGAGGTTTAAAAAAAAATATAAGATATTTTTGTAAAATTCATTATATAAGAAAAAATAAAATTTCTAAAATATGCTGTATTTTTTTTTCAAATTTCAAAATGACATTATTTTAAAATTACAGATGATAACTTTATTTTATTTCTTCATTAAATTAATGAAAAATATTGCTTGCATGCACGGAATAATTAAAAAATGGAGGAAAATAACGGCAAAGATGGGCGTGAAAAGTTTCTCTTCCATTTGATAACCTGGAGAATAAATATTCTTCAAAGAGAAATCCTACAATATTACATATTAAACTGTGATTGCTTGTTCATCAAAGATGAAGGCGCATGTTTTCTTCAGCATGGCTAACCTCAAAAAATAATATATGTTAATGGCATATTCACCAACTTGCCCAACAGGCTGTCCCTTTTTCATCCTGGCCATTCATTTTAATGTTCAATTAATGGATGGTTGGATTATTTGGTCTAAATTAAATTGTTGTTGGAAGTTTGCAGTTCACAAGCCACCTAAACCATTTAACACTCCTTTATCATACCAAACAAACACATTTTGTGTCCATTAATTCTTCTTGATGTGCTCCATGACACATTATGCCTTTTAATAGTCATAGAAGTATATGTCATTTATCCCATTTACATGCATACATAGCCATTGAATCTATCCATACAAAAATTTTAAAATATTATTGTGCAAAAATGATTTTTTTTTAAAAAAATCTAAAAATAAAATAAAATAACCTTCCACAATTCTCATATTTTTATTCCCATAAAGTGGCGAGAGTTTTATATTTTCGTGGCATGAAAATATTTCATCATGTGAAGTGTTGAAAAAATGGTATTTTATTATACCATTACTATCATCTTGGATCACCCTGATTTCATCACCTATTTTGTCTCGTGTTTTGAATTGATATTATGGGCTCATCACCTCACTCAAAATCCATAGTCCTACTTATTAGAAATTCCCATGAATGGATGCTTAAAATGTGTGCCTGAATTTCCTAATTAATTGCCTCTATCATTTTCAATATTCTGGCAAAGGACGATTCTCCTATAAACATAGGGTTTTCACCTTATCTTCAATTTATATAGGCATCTAATCTTAAATATATTCTTCACCCATATCTAATGTCTTATATATTCTTCACTTTATATAGCAGAGAAATTTTTTTTACTCCAAAAAAAATAAAAAATCTCTGCTTGCTCAACTCCAAGGTAGAACTTTTTTCCAAAATAAATTTGTATGTAAAAGCAATACGCAAAAATATAAATAAAATATCTGGTTAAACTTAATTTATTCTGAATTCTTCAATTGTATCTAACATTTACCTAATCTCAACAAAGTAATAAACTTGCATTTTCAGTACGTTCCGTTTGGCGGGGCAGATAATTTACTAAAATTGCCCCATTAAACAAATTAACAAGCTAAATTCAAACATCTCTTTTTGATATCGAAATTTTCGTCTTCTTTACGATTTTTTATATGTTATTTGAATAATGATATTTATGTTTATTTATATAAATAAAATATTTTAAAATAAATTTGTCAATAAAATACATAAATAAAATTATATTAATTTTAAATATTATTTAATAATAAATATATTTTGGACCAATATTTTGAACTTACTATCTAGAATTTTCCATGAATAATTGCTTATGATTATTCCTGGGAGGGAGGATCTTTTGAAAGAATCAACAGTCCCAAGGCAAGGTTAAAGTATGTTATAACTATAGGACCTTCATCCTCGTGAAATGGTTGAGCAGATCTTGGATATTATAGGAGGGGATAAGTTATTCTATCTATCTCTTTTTTGTCTACTATTTTAAAATATCATTAGATCATAATCTTAAGAGGAGAGAGAAAGATAAAAGATGTTAGTTGACTGATCTAATGATGTTTTAGAGTGATAGACAAAGATAAACAAAAAAATAGATAGAATAACATATCTATAAGTAGGGCTGGCAAAACAGGTTCGGCTTGACGGGCCAACCCGTCCCACCAGCCAAACGGGACGGGGTAGACTGAGTTTTTCAACCCATCTCAAAAGCGGAGCGAAGCTGGGCGGGGCGTATTCATTTTTTGACGGGTTGATGAAGGACATAGGCTGATCAGTGTAAAATAGGATCGGGCTAGTGGGCCAACCTGCCCAGTCCGCCAAACGGGACGGGGCGAATTGAGTTTTTCAGTCCACTTTTAAAAGTGGAACATGGAGTCTGGTTCATTTTATAACAGGTTGATAGCGCAGTGGTCGGATCGTCCACTTTACCACCTCTATCTAGGAAAATGGTAATTAGGTGTGATATTTTTTATCCAATTTTAAAAAATAATGTACTAGTATAACGGATTACTAAAAATATTTTCATAAAAATCTAACTCAATTTGCATGCTCCACCCTAATGTGTTAGTGGTTTAAGATCAAGAATCTCTGCATATACACAACCCTTTTTGTTAACGGATCATATATGTATCCACTATAAACAAAATACATTCTTATTTACTCATTTTAAATATAAGTCACCTAATAATAATTATCTTTATATATATATATATATATATATATATATATATATATATATATATATATATATATCATTTAGTTATAACTTCTTCTCCAATTTAAGTGTCACCTCGCACATTTGTGGAGTGGTGTGCTTTCATCAAACATCATTCATGTTATTTTTTCTTGGTCCAAATATAAAGTATTTAAAGTACATAAAAAGTGGGAAGGCCAAGAGAGTAATTTCGACAAAGCCAAGGCATATTCGTCTCTTGTTTGTTTGGGTTCTCTACTTTCCGAGTCTCTGCTTTTGTTTTTCTTCTTCTTTTCAGGTTTGGTAGGCGGCACCTCCAAATCAGACTCTTCCTTTTGTTCTTGTCTTTCCAAATCCTAATTCGTCAATTAATCAGAATCACCTTAACCTCAATTTCCCCTAAATACACAAAACCGGAACCTTACTTGACCTCTGCAAGTTTCATTGAATAAAAAGAAAATTCCACACCCCACATTCCCTCCCATCATTAATAATCTCAAAGTTTCGTTTTTGACCTTCTGGGATTGCTTCTTTTGGGTGGATTTGAATTCAAATCCAATTGGGTATCGAAAATGTTTAACGGTATGATGGATCCTGATATGATCCGAATGGCTCAGCAACAGATGAGTCGCATGTCACCCGCTGAGTTGGCTCGGATCCAACAACAGGTCTGTCTTTTTCCCTTGTTCTGTTCTGTTTCCTGAAATTGCACGAACGTACGTGGATTCGTCGCGTTTTGATTCAGACTTTGAGTTGCAATGTCAAAATGAATGCTAAATCGTTGGGAATTCAACGCTCTCAGATGCCCTTATTTGGAGGAGAAAAAAAAAAAGAGAGAAAATTTTGTTGCCTTGATTAATGAAATAACAGAAACAGTTAAATTCGTCTTCTGGGGTGGGTTGGGATCGTGGTTCTTTACATTTCTGGATGCGTTTGGGATTGAAAGTTTAAAACTTTTTTTTTTTTTTATAATTCTAGTTTAGCTATGTTAAGCCCTTCTTTTGTTTCTGAGTTTGTTGGAGACTTAAATTTGAACTTTTGAGAGAACATGTCTTAGTACCTAAGATTAGGGCTTTTATATACATGGTAAGACTCACATGACATGACTAATAAATTAGAGCTGACATATGCATGTGGGATCAACGACTAATAATGACTAATGAGTATAAGATTTGTTATTCTTACACCGTATAAATTGATTATTCCCCATATATATATATATATATATATCTATGTTTGTGTGTGTATGGTTCATTGCTAATTGTGGTATTGTGCAATGTTTCTGTGGAATTGCAGATGATGTCTAATCCAGAGTTGATGAGGATGGCCTCGGAAAGCATGAAGAACATGAGTCCTGAAGACTTTAAAATTGCTGCCGAACAGTTAAAGCATACACGTCCAGAAGAAATGGCTGAGATTGGTGAGAAGATGGCCAATTCAACACCTGATGAAGTAGCAGCTATGCGTGCCCGTGTTGATGCTCAGATCAATTATCAATTAAATGCAGCTGAGATGTTGAAGAAGCAGGTGAGTAGCATAGCAAGAAACTTCAGCTGGTTGTGTCTTTGTGAAACATGAATCATGAGCCACATGCATTTTCTTCTTATATTGGTAATTGATGAAATATGTGACATGAGACGAATCCATGTTGAATTGGAAAAAGAAAGCCTGGTGTAAGTTCCACTATTTTTGCAGTATGCCCTATATGTAGTTTGAAAGAGTCATTAAGAATACCTTCTAATTTTTCCTGATGGAAGCATATTATGATCATGTGCTAGTCCTTAGAGCCCAAATTATCTACTAAAGCCAAGTGATGACGCCCTGCGGGCAATCCTTTTCCAGAATCATGTAGGCTCTGAGAAAGATTGGTAAATAAAATTACATTTGAATAATACTTTAGTTCCATAGAATGATCTGATCAGAAAATACACTTGCTGTCATTGCATGATAAGACATGAAATGTTCCTCAATTTACTACCCTGATAACTGATTACTATTTTTCAGTTTCTGTAGAGCTCCAGTTGGTGTCTAGTCTACTGTGTGGCTTGATGAACTAAATTTAAATTTTGCAGGGAAATGAACTTCATAATCAAGGAAGGTTCAATGATGCTTTACAGAAGTATATGCTTGTAAGTGCACTTTTTGTGACTTCTTAACTGTCTTCCCCACACCTTTTTATCTTGTTTATCCCTATTTTGGAGACTCTAAGGAATTATAAGTTTTTTGGTCTATTACCTTGTTTTCATTTTTTATATTCTAGGCAAAGGAAAACATAAAAGATATTCCATCTTCTCAAAGTAGGAAACTTCTTTTGGCATGCTCACTCAACTTGATGTCCTGTTACTTGAAGACAAGGAAGTATGATGAATGCATAAATGAAGGTTCTGAGGTATGCGTGATTCCTTTTCTTTTGCCATTTCAACTTGATTTAATTGTTAATTTTAATAGCCAAATGCTATGTTTAAGTAGTGGTATTATGGGGAAATTTATCAGCTGAGAAGAATAGAAAGAACACTACATTGTAATTGTAATATTTAAGAAATTAGTTACTCCCAGTTGCGCTGCTTATGTAACAATACGAATATTGTCCTAGATTCTAATTTGCTACTATTTTAAGTTCTTTGTTTTAAAGAGTTCACTGTGACATCCTTGCAATGAATTTATGTGCTTTAAATACTGTAGGTTTTGGCATATGATGCGAACAACCTTAAGGCTCTGTATCGAAGAGGTCAAGCATATAAGGAACTTGGTCTACTAAAGGTGAGCTTCCAGTGACTCAATTAACATTTTGACGTTAAGGTTGCGGTTTTATTTTTATTTAATGGCATTCCTGATTTTTGTAGGATGCTGTTACTGATTTGAGCAAGGCACTTGAAGTGGCCCCTGATGATGACACAATTGCAGAGCTTTTTAGGTGTGATCTTTGGAACAGAATTATTTATTCCTCTACTTATTACATATATGATACATTTGGGATTGGTGAGCCTATAATTATGAGTATTTTTCATCTAACTCCACTATAAATCAATGTAGACAATGGATTGTATGCTGAATTAAGTAAATATGTGACGTGTTTACCATTATGTTTTTTCTGATTGAATCTTATGTAACCTATAGTAAAGGAATTTATATATTGGAAGTAAGCTGATGTTCTGCTTCCATCCATCTTCTATAATTAATTAGAAATTGGAATTAAGTTATTTTATTTTTAAAATGATTTCTTTGTTTTTTTTAAAGGATTTTGATGAACTTGGACTCTGTTTAATCCCATCAAATGTTTAATTTCAGGGACACCAAGGAAAAGTTGACAAAGGGAGGTGGAGACCAAGCACCTGGAAGTATGTGTTCTCACCAATTATTTTCTCTTTTCCTTTTCACTTTGCCCCAACCTCTGCTTTATGGTTCAAATGGATGTCAGATTTAAACTTATTGGTATCATGCATGTAGGATTAGTAATTGAAGAAATAACAGAAGAAGTAGAGAATGTGCCTTCTGGAAACAACATAAGCTCTTATTTGGAAGAAACAGTGGCTCAACCAAAAAAATCTGGAGACTCCTCTAAGAGTTGTGGTACAGCTAACAATGGAAATCCAAAAACAAATACAGACAGTCTAGATGCATTGAAAAAAGATCCAGAAGCTATCAGGTACTCTACATTTTTATAAAAGGTGCTAAGCACATTATGTGTATTTGTCTTGAATTTAATCATTGGTCTATAAAATTGATTTACACTCGTTTATTATTCTATAGATCATTCCAAAACTTCATTTCAAGTGCGGATCCTGCCGCTCTTGCTTCTTTGAACACTGGTCAATCCAAAGATATCTCTCCAGATATGATTAGAGGTACCACAGATATGATTAGCAAGATGTCACCTGAGGAACTTCAAAAAATGCTTGACATGGCTTCTTCATTTCAAGGAGACAACCCATTTTTCAGAGGAGGTTCCCCTGATTCTCCTTTCAACCCTGGATCAATTCCTCCCAATGTGACACCTGACATGTTTAAAACAGCGAGTGACATGATAAGTAAAATGTCAGCTGATGACCTTAAGAATATGTTTGAAATGGCATCCTCACTGAACGGGAAAGAATCTATTCCATCGTCAGCCGCCGTAGACAAGAATGAAAGAAATGTTTCCCAGTCAAGCTTCCCATCATCAAGTACAAATGGAACTAGTGCTTTTGGAGAATCAAGTTCTTCTCACAATGCGTTTTCGAATATGAGAAATGCTTCTCCGTCAAACTTCCCTTCCTCAAGCACTGATTTACAAGAACAGATGAGAAACCAGATGAAAGATCCAGCCATGCGGCAGGTACGTTCATATTATTTTTTAAGTAGATGGAATGATTAGTAGCCTTCTTCCACATACCTGGCTGGAATAAATGCAATAAGTTTCCACTTTTACTTTTCATATGTTACTACAAAAATTATTAGGTATACCCCTTAATTCCGGTTCTATATCTCAAAACATTCTTGTGTTCAGTATTTATGTGTATATTTCTTTCCCTTAATTTTTTTAGTTTATGTTGTTTTGGCAGATGTTCACATCAATGTTTAAAAATATGAGCCCAGAAATGATGGCAAACATGGGTGAACAATTTGGGTTCAAGCTTTCACAAGAAGACGCAGCAAAAGCTCAGCAAGCCATGTCATCCTTATCACCAGAAAGCTTGGATAAAATGGTATATTCTTCTCCTTAGTCTAAAGGAGGTTATTTTGTTTATATTCATAAAAAAAAAAAATTTGTACCTAAAGATGAGGATGGCAAGATGGAGTTGTGGCAAATACTAAGAGATGTTAGATAAAATGAGAGAGAACATTAGGATGCAAGTCAATTTCATGTTTAATTTTACTGTCAATTGGTGTTATGTTCCTTGAAATAGCTTAGAGTAGGTAAGCTTAGGTTGGTTCTATATCTTCTGTAGCGTCACTGCGCAATATTGGTTAGTGCTTGCTTTAAGGATTTCCAATTGGAATATTTGATTTTGGATCTTTATATTACTAAGGTGTACTTTGTCTTGGCAGATGCTTTGGGCGGACAGGATTCAAAGAGGAGTTGAAGGTGCAAAAAAGACAAAGAACTGGCTGCTAGGGAAACCTGGCATGGTCTTAGCAATATGCATGCTCATTTTGGCTATCATTCTTCACCGGTTGGGCTTCATTGGTAGGTAGAAGAATAAGGGGCACACATTATTATATATGAGATTCCTCAAGAGTTCAAACTGAGGCATAGCCTTGTATGAGGAGACGATGATTTGTTGTCTCAGCCAAGAAACAAAGAGGAGAGGAGTTATCCAGAAAGCAATGCCAAAATGGCATCTCTTATCAGATATGTCCAAATTGAGGATGTGATTGGCACTCTTTTTGTATTATATTAGCTTTTTGAGTTGTTTACCATTTAGCAAGCACTGAGAAGGACCCTACCATTCAATAAATCCAGAACCTTATGTCATTCCTATAGCCTTATCCTTATGCTTTTGTCAGCCACCTTTTTCGGTGGACTCTTACCTCCTTTTTTTTTCCATCTACCGCTGCACAGAAAAACGTTATTTATAAAAATTGAGAAATATTACTCTCCTTTTACATGAGGTAACTTATCTCATTTTCTCTCACTTCGATTTTCGTACTCCACTTTTTTATTTTTTTTTCTTTTTTCTTGTAATGGTGGTACCCACCTATTTTCTTTCTACCACATAAGATAACTATCTTATGTGGAAGGAGATTAATAAAACCCATAAAAATTTACACAAATTCATTTAGGGTTTAGGGCTCGTTTGATGCACACAATAGGAAAAGAACGGATAAGATAAGAGAATTGGATGAGGATAGGAAAAAATATGTGACTAATAAGTTTATATCATATCATGTGTTTGATATGCATTAGATTAACAATCTAAAAAAATTATGTTATCCTATTATGTGTTTGAGATGAAACAGATATAATCAGGATATGATATAAATAGATTAAAATACCTTTTTTAACCTAATATCATATAATTTATTAAAAATTAATTTTTAAATTTATCTATACAATTCTAACAATTATAATAGTAAACAAAATATTTTAAATTAATTTTTTATCCTTCATATCGTATGTACCATTATTCAAAAATCATGATTCATTTAACTACTAACTTTTGCATCATTAAAAATCATGTTCCATGTTTCATTCAAAAATAATTTTTCATTCAATTCAAAAAGGCATAGTGATTAATGGTTCTTTTATTCGCTAAACAAAAATTTTGGTCTGCAGGTAAATACAATTTATAATTTGGGAGTTATAAGGAGAAAGAATAAATAAAATATAATGCAACAAATACAATCATAGATGTTTCAAATCATTATAAGAATTACATAATACAAGTAAATTACAAATAAAGAACACTATAATCAATTTATATGTTCATTAGTTAGCCATTCATTCCATATTGTGTTGCTAAATTTTCCCTCAAGCAGACCACTGATTACTAGCTTCAATTGTATTGATATAATCACCATCACAACATGCTACTTCTTCATTGAGTATTTGTGTTTCCAACTCTGCATCGAATTATGCTTCCATTGGTCAGTAGGCATTTCTCTTCTGATAAAATTGTGAAGAAGGCAACAAGCAATTATTATGCAGTTTTGGATTTTGATGAGATAAAAAGATCGACTTTTGAGTATAGCTCAACGCATTTTTAACCATCCAAAAGTTCACTCTATCATATTTCTTGTCATGGAATGTCTCGTATTAAAGAGTTCTTCCTTATATGTTGGTGTATACCACGTCTCCATTCACTCCGATGGTACTGATAACCTCTATATGGAGCGAGAAATCCCTCGTAATCATAGTTGTTAAAATCTCGATTTATCACTATGATTTTATGTTTTTACGATTTTTTTCATCAAAACGATTTACCAATATTCCAAATGCTTTTACGTTTTTACGATTTTTTTACATTACGATTTTACGTTTTACGATTTTTTAATCCCCTTCCAATTTTAGTTAAGATTTCGAATTTAACAACCTTGCTCGTAATTTGTATATCCAACATCTACTATATAATAGTATCCTACAATAAAGAAATAATAGTTAATTCAAATACATTATTACTCATTAATTAATATCACAATTTTTGTACCATATAACCATTTTTTTACCTATTGGAACTATTAAGCCATTCCTCCTAGAAATGGCATCTCCCAATACGCTTGAATTTGTACAATTCTCATCCAATCCAATCCCCATGAACTTGGGAAAAATAAAAAAGAAATTTTTATTATCCTATCCAATCCTTCTCTTAACCCAATCCGCTTAGATATTAGGCTTGTAAATAGGAGAAGAGAAGGTAATAGGATAAGTCTATTCTATTTTATTAGTTTACCAAACAATAAATAAGGACATGATAAGATAATCTATCCTATCATATTTCTTTTATCAGATGCATCAGACAGGTCGTTAATATCTTTCATATTGTAAGAGATAATTTTTATCTCATATATACACATAAAAGTGTGTGGGGTCTATATATATTTTCTCTTTCTCTCTTTTCTCTTCATATGATTCCACATGGGCCACACATTTTTATGTATAACAGATAAAATTATCTCCTACAATATAAGAAACACCAATCCAATTCATTTATCTATTTTCCTCACATTCATGGAGCTACTATTGGTTATCTGTTTCCACTTTACTATTACATAGGTTGAAAAAAGTATTATGCTATGGTTTGTGCTTTGGCACATAGCCCTTTGTTTTTTCAATTCGCTAGAGAGTAAAATCATGCGAAATTCACCTTAGCCATAAAATTGTGGTGTTTATGTAAATTTTATCTTACATTACATAATATAAATAAATCAAAATTCTGTGTGCGATATGTTCATACACATATTAGAGACAGTGCACATCAATGCCTAAGCATTTAGAAGCTGACTAATCTACCCACTACCAAGTCATTAACAAACCGTGGGTTCCGTTGGTCTTTAAGATGTCAAGCTAGTTAAATGGTATCTGTATAATGTATATGCATCTCCATTTTTTGACTGATAATAGCATATTCTTCAATGCAATAGAAAATTACTTAACTTGGCGTAAGTTGGCAATTTATGCATATACAATATAATAACGTAATCAGGCATATGATTACTTAATGAAAAGTACTCAATTATCACTTAAAACAGATAGTTACTACAGAGAAAAAATGAATCGGAAAACCACTTCCCCACTAAAGCACTTTGTTAATTATTACGAAACCAAAACGATAGGCATGGAGCAAGTCCGCATGAACACGTGTTATTTTGACTTATAATAGATGATTGGCCACATCAACTAGTAACGTGGAATCCATTACGATAAAATGCAAGTTGCGATTTTTTTTTTTTTGTTTACTTATTTTAAAAATATTACTTTATATCGTGATATCGTGCGTGTAAAAATATTATTTTGGAAGTATATTAAAAATTCTCTGCAAGTTACAGTCATTTGGTCATATTGTGTACTTTGATTTCATTGAGTATAGTAGCGACGGGTCTTTTATTTATTCCATCATCGAAATGAAATCTGTTACGGATATGTATATCATATCCCAATTATCTACTAGAATATTTGGTGAGATATGGAATCAGCAACTTCTCAACAGCTCCAAACAGCCAAAGGATATAAGATAAGGATCACACCCCAACAGAAGGAGAGAGAATCATACTACAATTGGGGATCTCAAAAAGCACAATCCTAGGAAGGTAATCCTATAAATAAGAGCCTAAGGACCGTAGACGTGAGTGTGTTATAGCCAATATCCCAATCAGCTTATAACCAAGACATGAGTGTGTTATAGCCAAGACGTGAGTGTATGCACAAGCAATAAATGAGTTCAGAGTGTGTACCTGGAAGTCTTAAGCCTTTTATTTAGGGCCTGTTTGGTGTGACGTATAAGGCCTGATAGTATAAGCTTATACTATACGTTATGACATTTTCAGTTGTTTGGTAAGATCATCGTATAGTATAAGCTTATACAGCAGAATCCCTTAATACATCAAAATGATGTATAACTTAATCCGGCATAAGGGGAAGGGATTAGCCCTGATAAGAGGTTAGTGTATTAACATCATTGACCAGTGCAATTCTCAAAAATTAATATATTATTTTAATATTAATATATTAAAATAAAAATTAATTTTTCAATATATTAATTTTTAAAATATTGAATATTTTTATTTATATAAAATTTAATTTATTTTTGCGACACACTGATCAATAAATTTTTATAAAAATTAATATCATATGACATTTTTTGAAGAATTATATAAATTCTTTATTAAAGGATAATTTTATTAAAAATATTTATTTTTATCCTATATAGTATTATACAATGCATTACCAAATACTAGATGATATTATCTTATACAATATATAATTTTATACAATATCATGCCAAACGCTAGATAGTATTAAAATTCAACCATGTCTTATACAATCCGGCCTTATACTATCAGGTCTTATACTATCTGGCCTTATCCTATATTATGCACCAAACATGACCTTATAGAGGTTATTTCTTGGGCTTGGGTTATATAGATCTTCCACTTGGCGTAGGATTCAACCTTTTTTTTTTTTTGTTGGGATATGGATTTTATCTTTATTCATTGTTTCATGCTGTTAGAATAATTGAGCCATTTTCCATTGAGGGATTTGTGGTTAGATAATTAAGATATGGATATATTCTATAACGATCCTGTTATAGTTTTTTTTTATTATTTTATGAATTATTAATTTGCTCAAAGAGCCTATCTAGTGTTAATGGGTAATTAACTAATTACTTTGTTGGCTTGTATTATCTATTTACACTTTGAAATATTTGAATAAAGATCATCAGAAGAATTATTTGGAAAAAAGCATCACGTGCAAAAGTCAGACTTCCTCAATAAAACTATTTGAGATAAGACTTCCTCAATAAAGTCAATTTTTCATTTTTATTTATTGTGTTCGTAACAGGTCCGAAAAGTTCTAACAAAAATGGTAAATAGATTCTCAATAAAGATTCTAATCTAATCATAAGGAACGACAATAGATGTTAACTATTAAATTTTAGAGTAAATAACATTTTTGGTCCTCAGCAAATTTCACGATGCCCGCTTTAGTTCCTAGCAAATAAAAAGATTATTCGTGGTCCTTAAGAAATTCAAAATGGACCCCTTTAGTTGAAATCGTAGTCCCTCGTAAATTTAAAAAAGACCCACATTAATCCCTCAAAAGAACTAAAATAGGTCAACTTTGAATTTCTTAAGGACCACGAATAACCTTTTTATTTGTTAGAGACTAAAACGGACATCATAAAATTTGCTGAAGACCAAAAATAATATTTACTCTTAATTTTATATAAAATCTATGTGAATGGATTTCTCGTATGTTATTTAAAATCATCATATTATGCGAGAGAATATTGATTATATAAGGTGAATCAAGAGTGATTATTTTATTACTATCTATTCTGATTAACATCGTCATGTTAAATGAGTGTCCATTTCCAAAAACTATACAAATGGTTACAATTAGAAAATTACGAAGTTTTGGTGGTTGTTCTAGAAGGGTCGATAGTCTAATCCTATATGTATCTTAAAATCTGTCCTTCCCATTCCGTGTCCTTGTGAAGTGCCAACACGTCTTAATTCTTAACAACCTCTCTATCATTTTGGTTCTCAAATATATCTCATTTGGATTCTTTCTTCTAATCCCTTTTTTTAAGCTCCCCCTTCCATTTTCAGTTATATTATACCCTTTTCTCTGATCTCTCTTATTTTGCTTCTTTTCCTTGTTTTGCATTCAAACAAAAAGAAAAGAAAAGAAAGAACCATTATGAACCATCACAGCCTTGGCCTTTTTTCCTGAGAGATAATAATTAATATCTATTCAATCTTAAATGACTCACCAACTCATCGTCCATTCTCAGCCGGCGCAACGCCGTCAGCAGCGGCGCGTCGGCGAGATGGCCGGCGTAACCGCGGCTGAATGCGCCGCCGTGTGCTGCTGCTGCCCCTGCGCGGTTCTCCACTTCGTGGTGCTGGCGGTGTACACCTTGCCGGCGGGGCTGTTCAGGAAGGCGGTGCACCGGAGGCGACGTCGTTTATTGACGAAGGAGAAGAAAGAAAACGACAACGACGTCGTTTTGTTGCAGAGGTCCAGCAGCGCTTCCGGGACGGACAACATTGTGGTGGGTCCGACGCTGCTGGAGGATAACCTGGCGAAGGATCCGCCGCCTGCGGTGGAGGAGAAGGCGGAGGCCGTTGCGTTGGAGAAGAAGATGTGGGCCCGGTTCGCGGGAACCGGGTTCTGGAGGAGTCAATCTCAGCGCGAACCGTAACGGTAAACCGGTGGAACGGGACCGTTTTGTTGTTATTTACGTTAAGATAAAGAGAATCGAATTGGCGTCGTAATCCGAAGGGCTTCGGCGAGGTTGTAAGACACGTGTTCGAATTCGGTTCGTGGAAATCATGAATTCGGGAAAAGCTAGGTTCGTGTGATTTGGAAAAAAAACCCCAAATGTGACAATGACATGTTCGTGTTCGTGGGTACATTTATAGCAAACTCTTTTTTTTTTTTTTTTTTTGGAAATAATTTATAGCAAACTTTTGGAATATATAGATAAAGAAAGTTTATCTCTGACCTTAAAATTTCGCATTATGTGTGTTGTGGAATGAAAATTTTGTGTATATTTCTTTGTTAAATAGATGAGATCTTATTGAAATGTGTGAACATTTTTTAGGAGAGTTATTATAAAGATGTAAAAATTTAATAGGTTAAGTAAAATTTTAAGGTTAGAGGATTAATTTCATTCTCTTTCAAGTTTTCTTTTTCTGAGAATAACACATGCAATTTGCTTTGTTGAGATTCTTGAGAATCTGCAATTTCACCAATGCGGCTTAAAAAAAAAATAAGCCAGGTACAATTTGCTCTTTTTGTGCCTCTCTTTAAAAACAATTGTTCATTTGTCTTTGTATCCATGAGCATGGATCTCGTCGAAAATATCGTCTTTCCATGATCATTTTTCTTAAAACAGGGATTAAACTGACAAAAGTAGCCCTTATAAAGGAGGATTTTTCTCAAATGATAATATAAATCGTCAAATGACGATAACTTATAAAGTACGAGAGTTTAAAATCTAAATAAATATTTAAAAAATGTTACATGAGATATGTTTTTCTTCTTACACATCCTTTGATAATTGTGTCATTTTTTTTTTCAGGTTGTGAAATTCATAAATTTATCTATATGACATGAGATAACTTAACTTCTTTAATACGAGATTAATAAAACTCATATATATTACACTAAAATATTATATTTTGTACCTGAGATTTCAAATCTTATACAGCTGAAAATAATTGTGCTTGATTTTGGATTAATCTTATATTTGTGAAGATATTATTTTGCTAAGTCGTGAGATATATGACTTGCTTCATTTAAAATAAGTAATTATCATAATGGAATAAAAAAGCATTGTGGGACCAACTTTTTTTTTTTTTTTTTTTGAACATATTATATAATACAAAACTTCTTTGGAAGTCACGATGAGTAGTAATCACCGACGCCACGTGGGGACGGCATGGTGAAAAGAAGCTCCAAAATTTGGATCTCATTTCCTATGGTCCGGAAGCAACTACTTCCTTTCTAAATATAGGAGAAAAAAAAATGGAGAGAAAATTTGAAAAGAGAAGGGAGTATAAATGAGATAAATTTTTATCTTTTTTGAAAAAGAACTACAAAATAGTAATATGAACATAGAGCACAATAAAAAAATCTACAAAATTGAGCTTGTTCACTGTGGGCCGGGAGCAAATGCTCTCTTTTTGAATATAAGAAGAAAAAAAAGATTGAGAGGAAATTTGAAAAAAAAAGAGTATAAATGAGAGATAAAATTTTACCTTTCTTAAAATAGGATCACAAAACAGTAATATGATCCCCGAGCATAATAAAAAAAACTCTTAAAACTGAGCTTGTTTACTATGTTCCAGGAGCAAGTGCTCCCTTTCTAAATATAAGAGGAAAAAAAATTTGAGAGGGAATTTGAAAAAAATAAAAGGGGATAAATGAGATAAAATTTTTCTTTTTTGAAAAAGGACTACAAATCAGTAATATGATCCTGGAGCACAATAAAAAAATCCCTAAGATTGAGCTTGTTTACTATGGTCCGGGAGCAAATGCACCCTTTCTAAATATAGGAGAAAAAAAGGATTGAGAAGGAATTTGAAAAAAGAAGAAGGGGAAATAAATGAGAGATAAAATTTTACTTTTTTTGAAAAAAGACCACAAAACAATAATCTAGTCTTCGAGCACAATAAAAAAAATCTCTAAGATTGAGCTTGTTTACTATGTTCGGGAGCAAGAGCTCCCTTTCTAAATATAAGAGAAAAAAAGGATAAGAGGGAATTTGAAAAAAAATAAATATAAATGAGATAAAATTTTATTTTTTTTTATAAAAAGATCACAAATCAGTAATATGGTACTGGAGGAAAAAGAAGGGGGTATAAACATTTTTGTGTGTGTAGTTGTTGTTGAACATGTCTTGGCTTACACGCTGGAACTCCATGCTATGAAATTTTGAGGCTAAATGAGCGTGATAGTTCACTAAGTCATTCAGAATTTAGTCCCCCGATCTAGAGAAAAAGGGACCAACAAAAGCTTGACAATTAAACTTGATTTTTTGCTGTAAAACTTGACTGTTCTTTATAGTTTAATGAGATTTGATATTATAAATCAAAAGTGTTGAAATTGTAAAACTTTTTGACGCTCAGTAATACTAATTGTAAAACACGTTTATAAACTACCAATACCAAAGCTAACAGTAATACTATTTATAACTTTCTTAATCAAATGCCAGAAGTTCTGGACGGTGACACATATTATTATAGTCATTATTAGTTAAATGCCGTGGTTATTAAGCATTTTTTTTTTAATGTTTTTTAAAGACTCTCAAAATATTATTTATTTTACTTAAATTTTTTTTTTCTTCAAATCGTAGATGTTTCATTCTTTTTTATTAAGTTAAAATACACTATTTGAGAGTGAGTGCGTTTGTTTTACTAAAAAATGAAGAAGAGTACGATGTAAAATTACTTTTTTTTTTCATATTTGATTTTAAAAATAGTGATGAAACAAAACAAAAAGATAAAACATAAGACAAAAGTCTAAAAATTTATTACTCAACGAAACATAGAACTAGTTCTTGTCCCAAGCACAACACCATTCATAACTCCAAAATACCTAGCCATTTTTTCTCCTTCTTAATCCCTCTTTCTTGAGCCCAATTATCTTTCTCAACCCTTTTCCTTTTAACTTTTTGTTCTTCTTTTCTATGTGACACTTATCAGTATATCTACGAAATTGTTTAATTTATCCATTGACCATCAAATAATAAGCAAAAAAAGAAGTTTTGCAGTGACTCGATAACTTATATTGTGCTATTATGCTTATACTGTCCCTCAATGTGAATGAAACATAACTAATATTTTGGTCTACTCTCTCTTAAAGAATGACACACATCATTCTTCCCTTCTTTCAAATTCAAATTCTTTTGATCAATTATAAAATGTTTTTTAATAATTTATTTTTTAATTTATATTTTTAGATTTTAGCTGAATTAATTTTGAATATATTCATTCAATGTCAACATTATCTTTATTCTAAGTTATTTGGAATAGACAAATGATGAATCCAAATAAAAGCAAAAACAGCTTATGGGAAAATAAAAAAGTAAATAAATATTGGCACCCAGGAACCAAATTCATGGACCGGTTTGGTTCGGTCAACGGATTGGTTGTACTATCAAATCGGTGAATCGGATATAACTCGCGGTCCAACTGGTATTGAATCTGAACAAGTTTTTCAAATGAACCGATTTTTGAAGTTTTTAATAAAATATTTTAAAGTTTTGCCTTCTAGAGATATCAAACTCATGACCCATAATTAAACTTTTGATTTATCTATAACATTATGCTTAGGATATTCAAACAATATGTAAAAATATTCTTAATCTATGTATATATTCATCATAATTTCAAATATCTGTTCTTTTAAATAATTTTAATTTATATTATATAATCATGAGATATTTGCTAGTGACTTGATTCAATAAATATTTGCTAATACTTTTAAGAGTTTGTTTTTAACTTTAACTTCAAAATAATGTTTTAAGTTCAAAGAAAATCAAATTAAATGAGTTGTTATCACTATTATGTCGGACGGCAAAAAAAATAATGTAATGTTTTTTAATAAAAAAAATTACACATTTATTGTACTTTTTCAAAAAAATTACGCATTTATTGCACAATGTCACGCCCCAACTTGGCGTCACATATCACGTCCAAAAGGGGGCATCACGTCCTGGTGGGTCACGCCCAAACCAGGCGTGACATGTGACGCCCAAAAGGGGTGTCACCCACCAGCCTTATAAAAGCCCCTATTTTTCCATTTTTACCATTTCACTCTCACTCTAACCAAATTGTGCTCTCAAGGCAACAGTGAAATTTTCATAGCGAAGCTCTGCCAACTTAGATAAGTTCCTAATACCTGCTATGTATACGTTTAAATGACAGTGCTACGTTACGAATATGTTAGTATTTATTGTATATTAGAGACTTAGAAAATAATGATAGTGACTTAAGAAATTTTTTTTTTTTTTTGGTAATTGACTTAGGAATTTTTTACCATGCTATGAATGTTGTAATGACTTAATAATTTTTTTGTTACGTAGCTATTCTTATTATTATTTCATTATGCATTAAGGTTTAGCGTATATTAGTGATTTACAAAATAGTGATAATGACTTCGTAATTTTTGTATGATGTTATGAATGCGGTAGTGTATTGAGAACTTTTTAGAGACTTAGGTGTTATTATTAGTATACAATTATGAAATTATTAGTGACTTAGGGTTAAATATTATGTCATTACGATTTAATTAGTGTCTGTGGTTTCCTTCTTATTTAATTACAAATAAATTAGTGTACTACGTATTAATATTATGTCATTAATTACGATTGAAGTAAATACGTAGGGTTTATGCTTAATATTTTTGGATAATAAATTAGGGAATAGCTTAATTAATTTGTACATAAAATTTGCTGTTACATGTGAATTTCAATGTTGTTTTATATTATATAGTTTTTTCTCATGGGTGATTCATCATTATCTGCGGGATCTGCATCGGATCCATAGCCTACCGATCCTACCATGTACATCATCCCTAGGCCGTATAGATGGGAGGTCATTCGCAAAAGGACGCAGAGTGCCCATATTTCACAGCGAGTGTGTAATACAGAACATGTGCGAAAGTTGAAAACCAGGCGTGGGAAACCACAGGGGGGCCACCTACCGGCAATATTCCAAAAGTTGTCGTTGACTACCTCACACAGGTTGGATTTATACATGTTGCACGCATGCGACATATCCAGGTATGCAATTTTTGACGTATGTATTTATGTGATTATGTACTACGATTCGTTAACATGTTGTAATTGTATAATTTATCTCAGATTGATGCCTCATTGATTAGTGCTCTGGTCGAGCGGTGGAGACTAGAGACACATACTTTCCACATGACCCAGGGTGAGATGACGATCACCTTGCGCAGCAGCAGATGTTGTTAGGAATGTGGCTTCCATACTCAAGAGGGGGGGTGAATTGAGTATTACAAAATTTTTGCAAAAGCCCCCTTCTAGTTTCTAAATAATCGTTTCAAGCAAACTTTGATATGTGAAAAGCTAATCAATACATTCAGACAATCCATAATATATAATATATCACAATTATAGAACTTATACTAGCACATACAAGATATCAAAGAAGCAATTAAAGTGCTAGAAATAAAGAGTTTAGAGTTTAGAGAATTGCTAACACAATATATCCTGATTCGGTCACCACCACTTGTGATCTACGTCCAGACTGAAGCCGCTCGATCAGATCTTTCACTAAGGGTCAAAGCTTCACGGGTGCTTGACAAACCTTTACAATCTTCCAAGATTTCGAGTTCTTGGATACCTTTCAATCTCCAAGTTTACGGGTACTTGGTAACCTTACAATTCATTCCAAATTCACTTAGGTATTTGGCTACCTCTCAAATAATGGGTCTCACAACCCTTTCAACTCAAGAATACAAGAAGGGGAATATTAGGAAATGAATATACACTCTCAAAGTGTGGATATACAACTTGAAGCACTATGAGTATATGGATTTTCAAGATATGAGCTCAAATATATTTGATCTTTGAAAGATATGAAAGAATATGAAAATGATAGTGTAGAAGCTCTCAAATCATCCTTAAGATGTGTAAGAATAGTGATCAATATTTTTAGGATTATAAGGAATGTATTTATAGTGTTTCCATTGAAAACTAGTTGTTTATAGCCGTTTTATGCATTCTTCCCAGTAAGTATTCGAATACTTTTCGTGTGGTATTCGAATACTTCATTTATAGCCGTTATAGACCTTCTTCCCAGTAAGTATTTGAATACTTTTCGTGTGGTGTTCAAATACTTGATTAGGTATTCGAATACTGCATCAGGTATTCGAATACTTTATTGACAGCAAGAACATTATTTCGTATTTTAAGCATAACTTGAGTTATACTTGTCGGATTGATGTGATCTTGGTCTCGTTGGAAAGAAAAAAGAAAGATATACAACTTTTATGAAGAACACAAGATCCAAATCCATCATCTTAGATACTAAAAATTGTATGGAAGGAAGCAGCAAAATTAAGCAACAAATTTTAAGTTCAAATGTGTTCTAGCTTGCTTCCAACCACTTTTTGTGAAAGATCTTGACTTGATAAATATGTTTTGAAGTTATAAAATATGTCAAGGATCTTTTCCATGGATTTTTCAAATTTCTTTCAAGTATATAAAGATTATGATTATGCAATTTGAAAAACACGCTTACTTTGAGCTCATGCAATGCAATCTACCATATACCCTCACATATATTCTAAGTCCTAAAGATATATTCCAAATATAATTTTAGACTTAGCTGTATGTATTGTGTCTTGGATCTTTTCTTGAACCTGATGCTTTGACTTGTTGGATATGACAATGCCTGACACTTTGTTGGTTTTGATCATTTTTCACCATGGTTATGATATTGAGCTTCTCTTAGATGTTGTCCATGGTTAGTTGTCTTTGATCTTGGTGTTGCTCTTCTAATTATTACTTGTTGCTCTTGATTCAATAATCTTGCCACTTTGATATGACATCACTCTTTTTGTGCGGCTATATCATACATCTTCAATATGCACATACGGTTGATGCTTTTTTCTCTTGATCAAAGCTCTTCTCTTTTTGTTGTTGCCATTTTGTTATCATCAAAACATACCTTATATCTACAGATGTACCTCTCGTAACAAAATAATGAACCAATCTGCTGTATGTGTGCTTAATTAAAGCAGTTATGGGTATATTTCTGGCCCCTTTCAACACCGTGTTAACAGATTCTGCCAAGTTAGTTGTCATATGCATGTACCTACGTCGTTCAACAACGTATGCACGCGACCACTTTTCTTTAGGGATGGCATCAATCCACTCAGCAATCTGAGGACTAGTTTCCCGAAATCTGGCAAGCCCTCTTTCAAAGTCAACCATTGCCGGAGTATAGCCTGCACAATTTATATAATATACGAATCACACATAAGAGACATACTGTGGAAACAATTAAATAAGATACAATTAGTGCAGTTTACCTAAATTCTTTAATGTCCGCTTCAAGTCTTCATTTCTAAACTTTTGATTGAAGTTGCTGGCAATATGACGAATACAAAACACGTGATATGCGTTTGGTGGCAACCAATTACGGTTATTCTCCACAGCAGATATTATGCTACGATGATTATCGGAGATGAGGCATATGTTTGACATCTCAGTAACATGAGCACGTATATTAACAAGGAAATAGTCCCAGGCTTCCAAGGTTTCACCTTCAACGATGGCAAAAGCAATCGGTGAACATTCATCATTTCTATCTTGAGCTGTGGCCACCAACAATTTTCCTTTGTATTTCCCATATAAATGCATGCCATCAATCTGTATGACTAGTTTGGCAAATTTGAACGCCTCACAACACTGTCTAAACGTCTAAAATATGCGATGAAACACCTTTTCCCCAAGAACTAAGCCTTGTTCCACATAAAAATTATTTGTTTGAATATGATAAAATGAACCTGGAGAAAAGCGAAGCATGTATTCACACCACTTTGGCAAAAAAAAAAAACAAACGATTCCTTACAATCACCGTACATAATTGCCATCGTTTTCTGCTTCGCATACCATGCCTTTCATTACGAAACTTTAAAGCCATATTTAGAGGTTATCCTTTCCTGAATCAAAGAAATTGAGACAGATGGTTCTTCCCTTATCATCCCTGTCGATGAAGAGATTACAATCACATTACGTAGAACGAAATTAATTACACATACAACCTTTAATTACAGTCAAAATACGTACCTAGAATGCGGTCCGCAATGACGTCTGCATCGAGCTGCCTATGACCCTGAGAAATGTGGTCATTCAAACAATTATGATCACTAGCCCATCTCGTAATCTTCCAATTTTCACCAAACACTGGTTTGATCGCCCTAACACGCCACGGGCAACCTTTATCATACGTGCAACATTTCATGCTTAACTTTGCAGGCGTGCTCTCAATTACAATTGCTTCTTGATGCTCCCTAATGAGGTTGGGCCTTAGTGCCATTTGGACCTCTTTTTTGTTGCAAATTCTTGGTTCACAAATAACTTGTCAACCAGTTGCCACGGACCTTGTATTGATCCCGATCCTGAAATCATACCATCAGTGCATGATCCTTGTTCGCTCCGATAACTCCAATCAATATACGAATAATGCGAAATTCCTTCCCAAAAAGGAGTAACAACATTGTCGCCTGCATATGTACCTTTAAAACATCTTAATACAAACCATCATCATCACATATATACAAATTATATAAATTACCAAGGTCATGATTACCTAATTATGGGGATGCAATGTAAGAACCCGCACCGTTAATTAAGGAATTTAATTAATAAATTATGAGAAAATAGGAAATGATTCCATAATTGACCCTAATAATTGTTATGAGGCTTTAATAATTATAGTAAGTGAGTAATAATGCTGAAAGTCGCTTTTCGGGAGAAAAGTGCAAATACCAGTTCTGCTAGTCGGTATAAATGCGTACCGAAAAAGTATCCCGGAAAATTAAGGTAAGTGCATGATAATTACTAGAATAATATGTAGGACTTGTAAAACGAGTTTCAAGTCCAGATAATGAGAAATGGTGATAAAAACCGGTACTGGCTTGGAAAAGCGCGTACCTGAAAGGTGCTCAGAAAATTATAAGAAAAATATGATAATTCTTGTAAAACTGAGTAGGTTAAGAATCCAAAGTTTGGGATTAAAATGCTAAGCGTAGCAATTAAAGTTAATATTGTGTGTTTTCCTTTAAGTGGACTATAAATACAATTTTTGCACACTAACCTAGGCTGATACTCAGCCATTTGAGCGTGAAAGTTGGTGCCTTGGAGCTGCTGACCAGCCTCTTTCATGCCTTGCCTTGTTTCCTTGGAAACTCAACCAAGTTGTCACCTTTTCCTCTAGTTTCTTCACCAAAACACCTTGGGTGAATGGGAAATACTTAAGTGTGAGTCTTGTGAGCAGAAAAGAGTCATCTTTCTGAGTTTATTGTGAGGTTCTGGTTCTGAGTTGGAGAGTTTGGAGGAGATTCATCTTGTTCTTAGTGGTTTAGAGCTCCAAGTAGCTTCCTTGGTGAGGAAATGACTCATCTTTTTGGTCCATTTTCGTGTACCTGTAGAAACAATACTTGGAAGGGTTGTTGGTGAGCTCTTTGGGTCATTCTTGCTGAGTTTAAGCTTGTGGTATGATCTTCAACCTTGAACTTGAGTTTAAGTGTGTAAAAATGGAACCTTGATGCATATAAAGGTTAAAAGATGATAACTTAACGTTGGGTAATGTGAAACACACCTAGAAATGTATGTTTAGGTGTTTAAAATCGGTAAAAACCCAACCTTGGATGGATATCTTCACGAAATGCATTTTCTGCATTCTATCGTGAAATATCCGGATATGTGCCCGATGAATATCCGGATATGTGATATCCGGATATGGGTTTTGAGTATCCGGATATTGGATATCCGGATATGAGATTCTGGATATCCGAATATTGCATATCTGGATATGGTCCCGAGGAATATTCGGATATTCTGAGATTTTGAAGAACAATAGCTGTGCGGTGAGGACAGTAGGCTATTGGGGGTTTGTGGACCCTAGATTGGTGAAGTTGAACTTCTGTTTTAATTAAACTAAGTCAGAATCAAGTGATTAAGGGCTTATGGCTTGGTGAGAAGCCTTAAAACATAAAGCGTAATGAAAAGGCGTTGTCTTTAATTTGTATGCATGTGGTACATGTTGTTGATGTATTGTTGGTCCATAACAGATTGTGAATCTGCTGTGTTTGGACTTTGAGCTGTGGACTCTTGGCTTTTGGAGTTAGCTTGCAAGGTAAGCTTTCGTGTCCTCGGTTTAGCCATGTTATGGTTCCACCATGGGGGTATGGTTTATGCATGTTGTGTACATGCTTTTGGATATTTGATATGTTGATTGAACTTTACATGTAATGGCTTTTAATATGCATGTGTTGTTTCATCTTGACGGGAAGCCTGAGTATGTAGCGCCATACAAGACGGTGTACCGGGATGAATGTAAGTGGTACTTGCACGGTGTGTAGGTGATAGACGTATACCTGCACTGTCTCTGGCCAGTAGATTAGTATTGACACACATGGCATGATTATCTGCTGCATTGCATTGTTTTAGAAATGATAAATGATAAACTATTTTTGAACTTATATTGCACATGTAAGTGAGCTTGGGGTGGAAGATCCTTGAGGACTCACTGACTTACTGAGATTTCTAGATTAGAGATCTTACCCCACGTTTGGGGAATGCTTATTTCAGGATCAGGTAGTATGGGTACTGATGCCTCAGGCGGCAGGAGGCCGGAGCTTAGCTGATTATGTTGTTTCTGCTTATTTGTTAGCATGACTGGATATTGATGCTGATTATGTATTATGCCTTTTATCATTATGTTGTTGTTGAGACTGATGTTGGGCATGTTGCCTTCTTTGAGTGAGCATGGGGATTGTCCATGACACTCTCAGTTAGTACTTTTTAGATTGGAGCTGTATAAACTGTTAGATGGTCCGGTCTACATTGTTGTAGTTCCGTGACTAGAGCCACACTTATGTTATCTATGTTATGAGGTATTTCAGTTAGCTGTTTTATTGCAATTACATACAGGCGATGTTTTATTAATTGATTATTAAGCAAGTTGGTAATGTTAATGGCATCATAATTGAAAAGAAAAAGTAATTCCGCAATTTTAATTAAGCGCAGCTTAATACGATATTATGATACCGGATATATATACGGGGTGTTACATTTATGGTTTCAAAGCAATGGTTCGAGGGAAAAGCCTGTATGTATTGCAATAGCTAGATGTTTGGTTGTGTTTGTCTTGTGTGTTTACTCCGTCGAATTTTATTATGATAATGCATATGTAATCACACTGCGTGGGCCTGATCAACTCATAATTTGTGTAACTTGTGCAGAGTCATGGTAAGGTCGGGGAGAACACAAGAGACTTCTGAGGATCAACCCGATCCTATCCTGACTGCATTGGCTGAGATGCAGGCGGCTAGGTTAGCCGATCAGGAGGCCACTAGATTGGCCAACGCGGCAATGATGGATGCTGTTCGCGAGGCGAACCGGATAGCCGCAGCTGAGGTTCGTGAAGCGAACCGAAGGACCACTGAGGAAGTCCTCGAGGCGAACAGGATGGCGAACATGACGATGATGAGAGTCATGTTGGAGGAGATGAGAGCTGGTCCTGCTATTGGCCAGGCTCCACCACCACTGCCACCGCCTCCACCTAGTGTTCAAGAGGAGAGCCATAGTCACATTGGCAGTGCTACTCATGCCGCTGAGACGGGGGAGCCCCTTGTGGGGATTGCTGAGGATCGTGATGTGATCGATCGCCGGCTGAATGCTTTCAGGAAGCATAAGCCACCTGTGTTTGAGGGGTCTTTGGATCCTATTGCTGCTGCGAGATGGCTAGAGTCGTTGGACAAGATCTTTCGGGTTATGCAGTGTACAGACCCACAGAAGCTGATGTTCTCGACCTACATGCTGGAGGGCGATGCCCATGAGTGGTGGACGCACACCTCTCGTGCTTTTGAGAGGCAGGGCCGTGTCATGACGTGGCCATTCTTTGAGGAGTGCTTTCTGGGCCGATACTTTCCCTATGATGCGCAGGAGAGAAAGTAGGGAGAGTTTGATCGTTTGGTACAGGGCTCGATGTCTGTTGATGAGTACCTGGCTAAGTTTAATGAGCTAGTGAAGTTTGCACACTTCCGGATGGTTCCTCCTACTCCGTTGTTTCTGGCAGCTAAGTTCCGCAGGGGACTTAGTGAGGTGATTGCTGAGCATCTTGCTGGTGCTGCTTCGAGGGACTTTGGTACACTGGTTCAGCAGTGTAAGGACATCGAGGATGTTTGCGTGACAAGCAAGGCCAAGAGGGCCAAGGTTGAGGAGAGCAAGGGAACAGGTGGTTCCACTCCTGCTCCTACTTCTTGGAAGGACAAGAGGTTTGCTGATAAGAGCAAGGGAAAGCAGTTAGCGACTAAGCAGGCGCCTGGTCAGTTCAAGAGAGCTGTTTCACATCAGGGGAGTTCTGCTAGGCCTCCTACCACTCCGAGATGTTCGGGATGTGGGAAGGAGCATGTGGGACGCTGTGCTATGGGGCAGTTACTGTGCTTCAAGTGTGGCAAGGAGGGCCACTTCTCTAGAGATTGTCCGTCGTCGACGGCGAGAGCTGCAGCTGTTCAGGCAGTTCCTTTGCAGATGGTTCCGATGGCATCTTCTTCGGCACCTGCAGTGCCACCTTCTGTTGGGAGAGTGTATACACTAGATAGGCAGCAGTCATACCGCACTCCGAACCTTGT